TACATGACGTTACAGTACAGGTTCTCATATGTCCTGAGTCTTAATTGACCTGAGAAGACTAAGGTCAAAATGTTGGCTTTCCTTGCAGCCCTTTTTCTCTAATTTTGGTCTGCAAACTTAGGTTGTTAACCATCCAGAAGACAAGCTTATTGTTATTATTGTATCAATCTTTTTATGAATTAATTGAAAACAATTGGGATACAACACAACTGTGCATGATATATTAAATCTGGGATATATCAAATGTAAGTTGATTCCTACTAGTTCTTATTTTATTTGTGTATTTCACTATTTGCTGAAGATATTAACAGCTTGAGTTTTATATTGTGACTTTTCAGATTCATTATTAACTGTTTCCTGATTATCTGAACATACTAAGTGACATTAACATTAAAAAGATTGATACAGATATTGATGTTTCCTGAGTATCTGAACATACTGTTTTCATTAAGATTTAACAAGAAGTAATTATGATTAGTAATCACATATGGTGCTGTAAAAATCCATATAATCATTATATATGTTATATCTGCAGGGTATTCCTTCTAGGACTTCTTGAGATGCCAAATTCCAAATATAAACCCTTTTATAACACAGCATACTCTTTCTATATGATATTTAAATTATTTTAATACCTATTATAAAGTAAATGATATGTAAGGAGTTGTTTTACTTTAATGTTTAGGGAATAACAAGAAAAAAAGTGTGGGCCGGCCAGATAGCTCAGGGGATTCAAGAGCTTGCAAGCAGGTGCAGGGGCAGTGGTTTAATCCCCAGGCCTGCCATGCTGGCCCCACCTCCAGGGCGCTCTGAGACAGCAATTGAAACTGGGCGTGGTGGCGTGTGCCTGAAATCACAGCTCTTAGGAGGCTGTAAACAGGTGGATAACTGAGAGTCCGGTCTAGTAGTAAGACCCTGAATACCCTGTAGACCCTTCCCTAAAAATACAAAAAAAAAAAAAAAAAAAAAAAAAAAAAGAAAGAAAAAAGTACATGTTCAATGCAGATGAAACTATTGTAAGCCTAACTTTTTTTTTTACTTGAGGTTGGTTGAATCATTTGCTATTGAATCTTAGGGTGTGGTGGGCCAACTTCTTGAAATTTTGATACAGACAAGTTATTTTTATATCAGTCCTAAAGGAAATAAAGTTATAGGGTAATCAGGATAAAAAATTGAGTTTTTAAGATGGATTTGTGTCATCCTGGTGATAAACTTTTTCTAGAAAAATAAAGTATAAAAATAAGTGAAGTTACTAACTCTCAACTGAAAGGCTTACTAATTGACAAAAGTAATAGAGTCTTTCATAAGTTCAGTGACACAATTTGTTCAACCATCATGTAACTATTACATAATTTTACTTCTATTTATTTTATGGTGCTTGGAATTGAATCTAGGGCCTCTGCAGTGCTAGTCAGTTGCCCTACCACTAAGCTACACTCCAAGTCCTCATTATATAGTTTTACATTTCTTATTGCAAAAGCTACACCACAGGCAAAATCTCAGTGCTCACAGTTCTGTTTTCTTAAACAGTCAAGCCTATAGATGTGGTGATCTTTTTAAGAAAGACAAATTTGCAAAATGATCATTCTATTAATGTTATTATTTTTAGAAGTTTTCTTTTTTATTTTCTCAAAAGTGATGTGAATATTGATGAAGTTATTTAAATGAGGTCACTTAAACCAAATATATGAGATCATCTAGTTCTGGGAATGTATTTTTTTCCTTGTTAATACTATCTCAGGAGGAGGTGAACTAAGCAAGAACACACAGTAAATAAAGCCAAAACCAAACAAACTCATATTTGCCCTTGAGTCAGGAAGAGTGAGATGAACTAGATGGTAAACCTAGGATGTAGATTCAACAGTTGTAAGAAAATGGGGTGGGGGGGTTACAGGGAAGAGCATTCAATTGCAAGAGTGTTTCTGAGTAACAGATCATTCAGAATTCCTAGAGTGCCCTGAGAAATGTACAGGGATTATTTTGGTCAGCCAGAAGAAAGTTGGCTAGATCCTTTAGATTATGATCAGTTATCACTTAGATCTTTTAAGTAACTCATTTTTTTACTTTTGCAATATCTGAAAAACAGTTCTGCTCAGTTTTTTATTTATCCTTAGAAAGGTATGCAAAAAGTATTTGGAAGATCTTCATCATCTAATATTTGATATTCACAGAATTTCTTTATAGAAAACTAGAAATAGGATTACAAATGCAAACTTCCTGGACTGTGATGAGGGTGGGGAAGGGCTCTTTATAGAAGTTCTCATGGAAAATAAATATTTTAAATAATAAGCTTTTCCTGGTGAAAGCTCATAATTTCTCTATAACAGAATTGCGAGCAAGCAGAAAGAATGTGTCTTGGGGAAGCACAGCAGTACAAGAGAACTTTCTGGGTGTAAGACAAATGTTAGAAGTGTACATTTTGAAAAAGCTAATTACCTAAAAATTAGTAAAATTGCTAACAGTTTTAAATAATTGTGATTTTTTAATTGACAGGCACCACTTTATGGAGATACATAATAAAAACTTTCGATCCTACAAATTAAAGATGGTGGCAAAAATGGAAAAATATCTTCGTTCCAGCAGATGTAGGCGGCAGTATGTATTTTACATTTTATATCAATTAATAGCATGAGTCTAAGAAAAAAATCTTGTGTAATCCCCAGCATGCGGTGACAACCCCTGTTTCTGGGATGTGCTGAGACCACAGCTGAGACAGGGGGTGGTGGCACGTGTCTCTAATCCTAGCACTTGGGAGGCTGAAAACAAGATTACTACGAGTCTGATCTATGTAGTGAGACCCTGTACCAAATACATAAAAAAAGAGAAAAGTCTTGTTATTAGTCATAAATATTTTGAATGAATATTATATTACATATGTCCTGAATTTTTATTTATTTATATATTTATTTTTAGGAAAGGGTCTACAGGGCGTTCAAGGCTCACTACTAAATCAAACTCGTAGTGATCCGCCTGTTTACAGCTTCCCAAGAGCTGAGATTACAGGTGCATGCCATCAAGCCCAGTCTCAATTGCAGGCTCAGTGTGCCCTGGGGGTGGGGCTGGCAAAGCAGGCTGGGGGATCGAACCCACAGCCCCTGTGCCTGCTTGCAGGTGCTTTAATCCACTGAGCTATTTGGTTGGCCAGTGTCCTGAATTTTTTAAACAGTCCAATTATTTAAATACTGGATGACCAGGAAGTGCATTTTTGTTAATTTTTGTAAGATAATAGGAAATATAAAAATGACAATTTTATAAAATTTATATTTTATTTACATTAATTTACTATGTATGATGTACCTTAAAACATTCAGTATACAACACAACATTACAGTCTGAACAGTACTATGTCAGTTTTGAGTTCTTTTTGCTTTATTGCCTTTCTTTGAACAACACACTTTACATTATTGTGTTGGCTTTCCCTTTTTTTCTTTTTTCTTTTTTTTTTTTTCAAAGTTTTATTGATAAACAGCAATGAGACAGTTTCAAATCAAATCGGAAGTACAGTTTCAACAAATAATACACTGCATATATTCTTCTTAGTGGTTAAAGTGGAATAAGTTTTTTTTTTTTTTTTTTTTTTGCTCTAAATGCCCTGAGGGTTGGTTTGGCTGGCTGGAGTGTTGTGGGGATCGAACTACAGCAACCTGAGGCTGACAGCTTTGTGGAAGCAGCCACTTAAACAACTGAGCTAAGGCCAGGCCCCTTTCCCTTTTTTTCTGTGGGTGGTATAATTTAAATAAAATGTCTACCCACTGAATGTTATGGTGAAGACGTTAATGATGGATGTCCTGGTTGGCATTTTTCAGTTACTTGGTCTGTTAGAGCTAGTCTAAATTGTAAATGATTTTTTAAACCCTCTTTGGAATAAACAGCAAATGAGTTCTATATTATTTGGTATAGAAGGAGCATAGATATTTTATAGTGACATTTTTTTCTTACTTTTTCACTATGGGGTAACTTGTTAAATGTTGTCCCATTCTGTCTCTAACCCCCATAGAATTTATTATAATCATTGACAATGATTGAGATTTTTTAGTTTCATTTCTTCTTTACTGTTTTAGACTAACATTTCTCCCTTTTTTCCAGTTTTTTCTTTTGCAGATTTTTTGACATTTCTTTCCTATTCTGTATTGGTGTCCCACACATGTCCATTCTGTATTTTAAAAGAATACCACTAGGTTCTGGAGAAGTATTAAAATTATATCTAAAGTACTTATGGTAAGAATTTTTATAAGGGCCAGAGGTATATAATTCAGCACAGCGCCTGACCAGCAAGTGTGAGGTTATAAATTCAATTCCCAGTATATCTTCTCCAGAAAAAGTTTTTATAGGTTATAGTACAAAACTGTAGGTTGTCTTTCACAAATAAAATAAGCACAGTTTAGTAAAAGAAAATAATCAGAGCTACTTATTAGATTTCACTAGACACACAGCAAAGGCAAATTCAACATTCTAAATTAAAAATATAGAAAGCAGTCGATACAAAACAAACATTTACAGGTGTACCTTACGTAAACAAGAGTCAACTGGTTCAAATGACATGTGCCGAAGCAATGCCCGAGATACTCAGTATAAACTGTTAAGTGGTAAGGCAGCTTTTCTTGTGCCCAATAAACTGAACTCAAATACTGCATTGAATACCAGGTAAATCGCTAATGATGATTTCACCTCGTTTTTAGCAATGAATTTAGCATATGCATATATTTGTTCTTTAAAATTTTCTTGAATAGGATCATCTTGTCTCATTTTGAAGACAAAAAACTACGAAAAACCTCCTTGGAGATTATGGGAACTGAAAAATGCTGTGATAATTGCAGGTCCAGGTAAAGATTTCTTTCTGATGGACATTCTAAAAGTCTTTTACTTTTCTTTTTTTTCAGATATGTTTAATTGAAATTTTATTGAAAGATCTTTTAAACAAAATAATGAATTCTATAAAAATTTAAAAGGTGAACAATTAATTTTATTTTTTACAATAGGTAACAAAATAGTGGACCTCAATGCAAAGATATAGTTACATTAGCTATAAATGGCCCATAAGTTACAAAAATTGGTTTTTAAATGTGACTGTATCTTATACACTGTCCATAAGAAATCCACTGCAGGGGTCAGGGAAATGGCTCAGTGGAATAAGTGCTTCCTTGGCAAGCGCAAGGACCTGAGTTCAATCCCCAGTTCCACACACACACACAAAAGAGGGAGATGAATAAATCTGGGTTGGGGAGATGGCTCAGTGGAATAAGCGCTTCCCTGGCAAGCGCAAGGGCCTGAGTTCAATCCCTGGTGCCACCAAAAAAACAAAAAAACCCACAAAAATCCACTGCAAGTATAATTACATAGTTTGAAAAAGGAATAATATCTTATGAGAACACTAATTGCTGTTTTAATGTTGGCAAAAGAGAGCAAAAAAACGTTACCAGGGATAAAAAGGACATTGCATCATGTAAACAAGCCAATTCAGCACTTTATCTGTCAGGGATGTCTAACAAAACAGGACTAGCGATTGTGTGAATGTGCTTCTGCGTATGTCTGTGTGTCTTTGTGCAGAGGGAGAAGGAGGAGTTGTTTGATAGAATTGATTTTGAGGAATTGGCTTAGACAGTTGTGGAAGTTGATAATCTTAAATTTTGTGGGGTAGGCCAGTATCCTTTAAACTCAGGCAGGAGTTTTTGTCATAGTCTTAAGGCTCAATTCCATCTCTAGCTAACCTCAGGTTTTGCTTTTAAGGCTTTCAACTGATTAGATGATATTTACTCACATTACTGAGGCTATTCTTTATGTCAAGTAAGATGATTGCAAATATTAATTTCATTTATAAAATATTTTGCTGCAGCACTTACCAAACAACTGAATACTGTTGCCTAACCAAGGTGGTACATAAATTTAACCATCACAATAAAAAAGATAGTCTTCTTAAAAAAATTTATGTATTTTGTTCAGGGTCTCATTAGACAGCTCTGACTTGTAGTGATCCTCCTGTTTTCATCCTCCCTAGCACTGAGATAACAGGTGTGTGCCACCATGCCAGGACTCTGTCTCTGGTTCAGTGTGTCCGGGGGTGGGGCTGGTGCAGCATGTAGTGCCAGGGATCAAACCCTGACCCCTGTGCTTGAGCTTGCCTAAGCAGGTGCTTAGTCCACTGAGCTATCATGCTTGCCCAAAAAGATATAGTCTTAATTTTTATATACACTAAACAAAATAACTTATTTTAACTGCAAGGATAAATGGAAAAGTCCACAATTGTACTTGATGGCTTTAGCACCTTCTCTTTTTTATAATTTAGTTTTTGATGCAGGGTCATGCTACACAGTTCAGACTCTAGTAATTCTCCTCTCTCAGCCTCCCTAGGGCTGGGATTATAAGGGTGCGCCACCCGGTTTCTGGGTGGCATGGCATGCCCAGGGTTCTGAGGCTGGCATGGCATGTGGTACAAGATCAAACTGTGGTCCTTGTGCTTGCCAGCACTTACGCCACTGAGCTATCTCCCTAGCCTCAGCACCTTTTCTTAGTAACCAGTGTAACTGATAAGCAAAAAAATGGTAAAAAGAGGAAGTAAAAAAGACTGTTCAAAGAATTGGATCTTATTAATATTTATAGAAGAATCCATACAATGGCCGCAGAATACATATACTTTTCAAGGCATATAGAACATTTGTGAAACACAAATCTTTCTCTAAACTATAAAACAAGCCTTGAAAATTTAAAAGTATTTTATTTGGGTAAAGTTTTTTTTTTTTTTTTAATACAATGTGATTAAACTAGAAAGCAATTAAAAGAAGACAAGAGGAGGTGCTGGGGTGATAGCCCAACAGTCTAAGCACCTGCCTGACAAGCACAAAGTCCCAAGTTAGAACTTTAGTACTGCATACTGTGCTGGCCTTGAAACCCCTGGCACACCATGCTGACCTCAAAACTGGGTGGCGGTGGAACACGCCTGTAATCCTAGTGCTGGGGGGAAGGGGACTGAGACAGGAGGATAACTGTGAATCTGAACTGCATAGTGAGACTTTATTTCTTTATTTTTTTCATAATTTTATTGAGAAATATAGCAATGAGACAGTTCCAAACCAAATTCGTAGGACAGTTTCAATAATCAACACATTGCATACATTCTTCCTAGTGGTTAATTGCTATGCAAGATGCGGACATGATATTTATAAACACTATTAGAACAAATTCCTCTATTCATTAAGAGAATGTAACTATATATCTATCCTAACCATTTTGAATACACAGATACAAAATGGACATTCATCTGTATCCCCTTTTCTTGTTTAGTTCCATTATTTGAATATTATAGGTGTGTTAACTCTGCAAAATATTCTATAAGAGTTCAGTAGTCCATAATAGTATTGGGTCTTCCGCTTCACTGACAGTGTCAGAAATTGTTGACCTGAGTCCCCTACAGCTCAACATAACAGCATGGGCTTTACTTCTTGTACTTCGTTTTTATACTTTTCTGCTGGATGGTTAAGACCAAGGTAAGGCAGGACCTATGCAACAACAGTTGTAGCAATAGTGAGACCTTGTACCAAAAAATAAAATATAGTAAAATAAGACAAGAGGAAAGTCTCCAAACCATTGGAAATTAAATAACACCCGTATAAATAAGCAGTAACTCTAAAAGGAAATCTCAGAGTAAATCAGAAAATAGTTTGAAATGTATGAATAAACACAAAATGTGTAGGATATTGGGAAGAAAATCCAAAATATTAAGCACATTGTGAAAGAAGATAGCTATCAAATCAGTCATTAAACTTCCACCTTAAGAAATAAACCTTTACTACTGGACTATATTCATTGTAGTAGCTTCTGGTTCTGTGTCCCTCTGTGTGCCCCAAATCATGGCTTTCTCCACCTCATTTTATGTCTGTGGGTTTGTGAGGTACCTCACTCTCCTTGAATTCCTTCTGTCTATGCACCTCAGGCTGTGCCACAGTGTGTTCCTGATTGTGTTGGTAAGTGGGGAAAGCACACAGATTACTGAACTCTGTGTTGGATGTTGGTAACATGGTAGAAAGGTCAAGCAGTCAGTTGGACTTAGTGCCAGCACTTTCAAACCCAGCCCCCTCCAGTACCACTGGTGTGGCTTGTCAAGTTGGATAGCCAGACCCCATCCTTTTCTTGCCTGAGCTTTAATTTCTCAGAGAGTTTATATCTAGCTTGTTCCTGCCCTGTGACTATCTCTTGGGACTGTTTTCTGCCCAGCCTTTTGTAGGATAACACCAGAAACTCAAAATTGCAATTATTCTGTAGTTCTTCTATTGCTGCCTTAAAATGATTAACTACCTTCTAAAAGGGCTCCTGATTAAACACATATGTAGTGGGCACTGTTCTGGATCTCTTCCGCAACTCAAGCCTGCTATGCAGAAGTAGTTCACTTTTAGAATAAAACTCCATGCTGGTTTTGCGCTGTACAGTGACCATGGGCTTTTCTTGGAGCTAGTGCTACTGGCTGTACCCATCGTTTCTTCCTGGAACTGTTGATCCTCTTTGTGCTTGATTGTATTAGCAGAGACAGGTTCCCTTCCCTGGGAGCAAGGTCAACTTTCCAGGTTGCTTTGTCCTTTTCTCTGCATTGTGTGCAGTTTTTGAAACTTCTCTGTCATGTCCCAGTTTTCCTGTCAGTTCCTTTGCAATTCCCAAAGAACTACTTTTTTGTTTGTTTGTTTGTTTTTTCTTTACCAAGTTGTTGTTTTCCAGGTGCCTGAATTCCAGGTCATGGTGAGGTTGTATTTTGCTGCTGATCTTTGTGTCCTGGTTTTGGTGAAGGTTAGGTGTATCTATGCATTTGAGCCTTTGCATGTGTTAAGATTTGTAGAACTTCACAAAAATGCAATGAATTTAACTGTACATTTATAAAAAATAAAACAAATGACATATCTACTTGGCTTAGCTGTATATGTGGTGTACTAGCTGTATTACTATAATACGAAAGGAATGTTATTAGGGATGGAGCTGTTTCTATGTAATGGTAAATGGTTTTGTACCAATAAGACATAATTGTTTTATGCACTAAAACAAAGCAAAACGAAAACCAGTACAAACTGACATGAACTGGAAGAAATTAACAATCTCTATCATGGTAGGAGAGTTAAAATAAGTTAAGCAGTGAGAAAATTAGTAGGTTATAGATAATTTGATCAACCTATTAACAAATTTTATTATGAGATACATGGTGTATAGAGCTCTATCAAACAACTAGAGCAATTTTTTAGTTCACAACTCACATGGCAAGTGATAATTATTTGTATCGCATACTGGACTAAGGGTCAAAGTTGTTCTGTCTAGAGTCCTAAGGTCTCGAGTCATTAACCTTTAGGCGCACCTAGAATGTATTTGCAACACCCTGAGTAGGAAACTGAATGAGAGCCTGCACTTAAATGCACAGGGAGAGTTTATGAATATTGACTATGCATTAGAGCAGGGGTTACAAACTGGGGGCCAGATTTCAGTTTTCTTGGAACACAGCTATGCCTTTTTATTGTCACTGCTTGAACTAAATAGTTACCTACAAAGCCTATTGTGATCCACAAAAACTAAAGTATATACTGTCTGGCCCATTATGAAAGAGGTTTTCTAACTCCTGTATTAGACTTGTGACAACTTTTATTTCATAACATTTTGAATGAGTTGTTATCCAGCTTACCACATTCTCTGCCTAGAATATGGTTGATTCAGCAGCTAAAATGAGTCTCATACATATGATAATTAAAAATGAAACACTAATATAACTTAAAAATCAAGGTGGATATTAAAACAATAAAAACATACAATGATAATTGCAATAATATATGTTAAGACTGGTAAAATAATACTTAATGGGCAGTTGGTAGCTATAAGGTTTCCTATTTGAAGAGAATATTTATCAACTTAGAATTCTACTAAATACACAAACAATGAACACACTGAGAGAGAAATTAGGGAACCTATGCTTTTTACAATAATACCCAAAAAAATGAAATACTTAGAAATCAGTATCACAAAGGAAGTAAAAGCCTTGTACAGTGAAAATTATGATACTCTGAGAAAAGAAATTGAAGAGGATTTGTGAAAGTGAAAAGATATTCCATGCTCCTGGATAGGAAGAACCAATATTGTGAAAATGGCCATACTCCCAAAATTGTTACACAGATTCAATGCAATCTCGATTAAAATGCCATTAGTATATCTCACAGAGTTAGAGAAAACTTGCTCCAAATTCATCTGGAAGCAGAAGAGACCCAGAATATCAAAAGCAATCCTGGGAAACAAAGGAAAGGCAGGAGGTATCATAATCTCTGACCTGAAATTCTACTGTAAAGCTACTATGGTAAATAACTACTACAAAGACAATAATACGTAATGTATTAATTATTGTAACTGCCCAACTAACTTGTTTTGAAACTGCTTCATTGCTATTTTATCTTTTTTCTTATTAAAATGAATTTTTAAAAAAAGCTACTGTGATAAAATCAGCATGGTACTGGCGTGGAGATAGACCTGAGGATCAGTGGAACAGATTAGAGGATGCACTCAACAACTATAAACACATAACATTCTCTAATGACAGGTTTTTTTTTTTTTTCATGTTTTAGATGTTTGATATACTTTTGGCTGTAATGAACTTTGTAGCTTCTGAAACAATTGGCACCTGGTAGATAATTGAGCATTTGGCACTTTTGAGATAATTGTTACACTAAATCTTTTAATTTCTAGAGGTACATACCTTGTCTATGCTTTCTTAATATGTTATCTCTTGTAGAGTGACTCATTGCTATTCTATTAATGATTCAGACGATACATCACAAGATTTTGGTCCACAAGCTTTCCTTCTGTTATCTGCTGTGGATATCTTTCAGGGAAAGTTTGGAATTGGGATTCCTATTTTGTTTCTCCGAGGATCTGTAAGTATAACTCTGAATGACCTTCATGGCTTTTCTTACTCCTCCTATACTTTCTTCAGTGTTAGAATTATAGCTCTGTCTATGGATGAGTTATTGGAAACTCAGGGTCATATTAAGTTCTACTTAAGCATGCCTTTCATTTATTTTGACAGAACTTGTGTGTATCACATCTCCTGCTGTTTTGGTGTTCCAACCAACCTCTGAATCTCAGCCTGGAAATGTTATATTGACTTAGCACATTACATTTGGGTAAATCCTTAGACTAGTTTTTCTTAGGATAATTAAGGAAAGTTAGCTTTCATTGTATCAAGGGACTATTAGAATAAAATTATATCTTTTGGCGCTTAGGAAACTAAACTGTTCAAGGAAAACATTCGTTTCAAGAATTATTTTGTAAGTGGTTAAGTTCAATAACACCATTGACAGGACTTTTTTCTTTCTAGTTTTTACTAGAACTATTTAAAATTTTAAGAAAATTTTATTTTTTCTCTACTAGTGAATAGTTAATTTAATTGCCTTTTTTGGAGAGATTAATGTGCTAGTATTATGGTAAAAAAATTATAGAAACAAATATGAAACACTTGAAGAGGGTTTGAGTCTTTGTGTATATGAATTTATTATTGATTTAGAATTATGTAAAACGAAGCTACCTGATTCACCTAATTGTTACTAAACAAACCAGAAGAAGTGAAAGTACTTTGTAAATATGTATGTTAATATTTTTTAAATAATTTAAGATTATTATTTTATATGTAGAATTTTAAAATCCATTTAGGTCAACAGTTATTTGTTAAATTCTGAAATGCTCATGTTAATATATTTTTGAATATTTTGTTTAGAAAACAACATTAAATTAGCTGATAAATATTTCCTTCTCTCTCTTTCCGTCTGTCTGCCTGCCTTCCTGTCTGTCTCTGTCTCTGTCTGTCTCTGTCTCTGTCTCTGTCTCTGTCTCTGTCTCTCTCTCTCTCTCTCTCTCTCTCTCTCTCTCTCTCTCTCTCTTTCTTTCTTTCTTTCTTTCTTTCTTTCTTTCTTTCCAGTGTTAGGGATCAAACTCAGGACCTTGTGCTTCCCAGGCAACCACTTATTCCATGAGCTATCTCCCCAGCCCCTAGTTGAGAAATATTTTCAGTGTTGAAAACGTATTAGCTCTTTTCAGTTAATGTGTTTTTGTTTTTGTTTTTGTTTTTTTCGTATTGAGGATTGAATTTAGGGCCTTCACCCTAAGCTGTATCTCCAATTCTAGTTTTACTTTTTTTTGGTCTTCTCTACTATAAATGTTATTATGTATTATAAAAAAGAACTTAGATTACAGGGCACAGCTTAAGTATAGTTGAAATTTGTAAAACTTTCTTCTTTGGTACCCTTAAAACCTGTGTATCCCAGTTGAATGTATACTTTATAAAAGTTATTCTTGTTTTAATTTGATATAATCTGGCCATATCCAATATCAACAAATAAGTATAAGTGGGCTCCTAGAAAAACTTGAACTGGTCACAAGAGGGATCAGATTTCACCTATTATTTGAAAGCCAAGTCAGACTTTTTATACTCAGTCTTCTGGGAGTCCTTAAATTAAGAAGTTTATCCTTTATGAAATTTTATACTACCTTTGGTAGGTAAAAGTGCAAAACTTTTTTAAAGTACCACTTAGTGAAAATTTGTAGATATTAACTGCAGTGAAAATGAAACCTATCCCCTCTCCCTTTAGTGATCATGGTATCTGTTGGGATATTGTTTTAAAAATTATGATTGTAATTCCTTTGAGAATTAGCAAATGTTCCCCTTATCTAATTTAAGACAAATCAGTATCTTTGTAACTATTTTTGATTCCTAAAATATCTTTAATTTGTGAACTATTAGAGTTTTTGAAAAAAGAAATAATATATAAATAATATGTATGTTCAATAATACATGATTCTACTCATATTTAGAAAAATAGTAGAAAATTATATAGTTTATTCATCAGCTTGTGAGTGGAGTTTAAAATTTTATTTCAAAGCACATGCATAGTTATTGAACAGTAAAGCTGTTACCTAAAGAGTTTCATTTTAAGTGTAATTAGCTCACCATGTAAAACACCTTTAAACACCTTGTGTGAATATGGCAATGGCCTTAACTTTATAAATTAGAAAATAGAAACACAAGTATTAATTTGCATACTAGAATTAAGTGTAATGACTTTTCTTATCACATTTAGCAAAGTGCTAAGCCTTAGCACAGCCATGGTATCATATAACACTTTAATTAAAATTTTTATTCAATTAATTAATTTTAACTTTATCTTTTGGTGGAGGATCACACTAAGTTGCCCAGTCTGGCCTTGAACTTCATTGTCCTGTGTCAGTTTATTAAGTAGCTGGAATTATAGGCTACATCAGCATGCTCAGCCTAGATAACATTTTTGATAAAAGATTTTTGTACCTAGAAAAAGCTATTGGAAGTCTTGGTAATTTTAATCCCCCTCTTTATTTTTCAAAAAATCTAAGAGGAGAAGGCATTCCATTTAATTTTCTGAACAAGCTATTTCATCTGATTGAAATAAATTTCTAGAGATAATTATTGTTACTTTATCCTTTGATTTATTTTACATATAGAATGAGTTGCTCAAAGTGACTTTCTAAAGCTGTAAAGAGGCAGCTGTGTCTTCTTTCACTTGTAGGAACTGAAAAAGAGGGGGGAAAAGAATATTTGACAGATGCTATGGGCTTGTTTTATACCTTAAAACTTAGAAATTTAAATCTAATTGAGTTGTAGCTTTTTTTATATAGAAGTTTTATCACTTTCTTTTTAATTTTGTCTGAAAAGTCTGGCTTTTAAATTATATTCCACAGACTGCCCACCTTATTTTTGTCTTTTAACTATTTGGTTAGTTTTTTATGATAGCATAATCTATAGTCCTTTTTAATAGAAACATTTCCAACCAGTTAAATGAACATTAAGTAAGGGATTGCACCCGTATTCAGGCTGGAGAAAAGTACTGCAGGGTGGTACTATGTACAGTTTAGCAGGATGTATAGACTTTGTAGCAGGGACCTTCATTGGATAGAGTCAAATGTTGATGTATATTGAGTTGAAGTTTAGAAGTTTTTCCACTAGTTATTAAGCATCTATTTTTGTGTAAGGCATTATATTGTTGTATTTTGTTGGTGATCCAGAGTTAAATTAAATGAGACTTATCTAATATAGAAGGTGTTTGGAAGAAAAAAACATATAATGTAATACAGAAAGAGATAAAGGACATATGAATAGAATTGAAGCATTATTGAAGTTCTGAACACACAGCATTTATAGAGGAATTAGAAAAGTCCTTGTGAAAATATCACTTTTGCTTTTTATTTTGTTGGGGACATAGTAGATTTTAAATTGGACATTTAGAGATGGAGGGAAGTGGAAGAAAGTGTCATTCACTGAAAAAAGTTACTACAAAAAGCAGTTGTGACTTAAGGAAATTAATTGGAAAAGCAGCAAATTTTCTCTCTGTCAGCTATATTCTTTATATAATATTTACCATGGAAACAAGACAATGTTAATTTATTCATATAGTACACAGTGTTCACAATGAATATTGATCATAAAAGTAAAAGAACATCATTCCCTACTAATTAGAAAGTATCATTCTTTGTTATTAGTAAATGTGCATATTTGCTTTCAGGTTTTCTCTGCTGAGGAAGTGAAAAGTTATAATTTTAGAGAGCTAGTAAGTGGTAATTTAGCAAGTTTGGTATCTTGGTGTTACTAGTTTGCAAGCAGTATAATCTCCTGTTCCTGTCACAAAAGGTAAGTAAGCTCTTAGCAGCACATAGGACCACAAGCACAAGTTCCAGGGAAAATTGACTAGATAATGTTAGGTTAAGAAATGTAGGTTTAGGGCGCTCCCCAGTAGCATGGCTGTCTAAGCACCTGCATGGCAAGTGCAAGGACCTGGGTTCTATTCCAGTACCATGTGCTATGCCAAGCCCTGGAACCCCAGGAGAGCTGAGCTGCCACCAAAACTGGGCATGGTGGTGCACAGCAGTAATCTCATTGTTTGAGGAGGCCGAGGCAGGAGGATCACTATGAGTTGGAACTGCATAGTGAGACCCTGTACCAAATAAATGAATGAATGAATAAATAAATAAATAAATAAAAGATTACTGGAAAAATGAAAGAAATTTAGGTTTAGTTAAGGTTTCACTTCTTGACTAATTACTGAGCCAGGCTTTGTCCTAGTTTTTTTTTTTTTTAATAGTAATGTATATTAATAAAAGATCTAAATAGCAAGGATGAAATATTCTAGTCACATGTCTAAACCTATATATCGGGAAAAGCAATTTGAGTTGTATGTCAGATTTTCTGTCATTTAAAACAAAAAGGATATAACATTATTATTTGATTTGAGTGTTCAGAACAAGTGGAATGGGTATAAATTTTTTCTAAGTTTTTACAACTGAGAATGGTAGAACATGCCTCTTTTAATTCTACCAGTTGGGAAGCTGATGCAGGAGGCGGTATGAGTTCAAGTTACATTATTATAAAATAATATTATATATATGTGTGTATATATATATATATATGTTATAGAGAGAGATTTCAAAGCTGAAATTATTGTTAAATCTAAAGCATCAGTAGATGGGTTTGTGTTACACTAAGCCTTTTTAATTTAATAAGTGTTTTTAGATACCAATTTATTTCTAATTTCAGAATTCTCAACGTCTTCCAGATAAATATCGGAAACACAACCTTTTTGGTGCTGGCAAGGATCAAACAGAGAGTTGGTGGAAGGCATTTTCCCATCACCTCATGACTGAAGGATTTTTAGTAGATGTTCCTGGTAGCAGCAAATTTATAAAAATGTGCACCCTTACAGTGAAGGTAAACAGGATTTTAAAAAAATCTATGTTTGCCGTCATTTTTCTCACTGTGTATTAAGATTTTTCTTACTTTTCATAGGGTAGGAATTGGCTTGTTAAAGCCACAACAGAATCTCCTCAGAGACTTATACTTGAAGTTAATGAAGAAATGCATCCAAAGAAGTTTCTCCTGCCAAGGTTCATTTATCAGTTTCTTTTTTTCTTCCCATTTTTGGACTTTTTTCTTGGTTGTTGTGTAAATGATTCAGGTATTTTATAGATTCAGGTATTTTATAGACACCACATAAATAAAATCAGTTGCCTGCTTGTTTTTACATATTTCTTTTAGTCGGTTTAGTAGAAAAGTGTTCTGTGAAATCACAGAATAGGGGCCGGGGAGATGGCCCAGTGGAATAAACACTTCTGTGGCAAGTGCAAGGGCGGCCTGAGTTCAATCCCTGGTTCCACACACACACACACACACACACACACACACACACACACACACAAAGATATCACAGAATACTTTATTGACTGAAGGCTGAAGACCTCGTGTACTGAGTTTCTTATTGTGGGAGGTGGGCAGGGAATATGGTATTGGCTATTTTTTTTTAATGCCTTACATGTTAGTGATCATTTGTAATTGTTTTTTTCTTTTAAACTTCTTCCTTTTCTGGAAAAAGAAATCAGTTTTTAAAATTGTCAGTTCTAAAAGGGTAAAATAGTCTCATCTACCTCCTTAGAATGGGGGGTATGATGTACAAATTGAATAATTGTATTTTAACACCAGAATGATTTAATTTTTCTATTTTTCAGTTCTCATACAGTATCTTTGGGCATTGAACACCATTCCTCTAATCAAATACCAATTGAATTAACTGCAGAGAAGGTTTGTGTTATTTCATTCTTCATGATGCAACTCTTGTTTTAAAATGGTGTATTTTAAATCCTTTCCAATTCAAGGGAATAGTAGCATATATAATAAATCATAAATTAGAAAAAGAAGTGATATGAACAGGATAAAATGTTTTACATAATTTCTAGAGCTAATAGAAAAATTGATAGCATTTGAGAAAGTAACTTACTGTGATTCATTTATGCCTTCTTTGTAATTCATTTGATTTGGAGTGTTTATGCATTATGATACTCGTAGCTGACAGAAAAATAGGATTTAGTCCTAAATATGCTCACTGAAGCCACATGGTATATGTGTGTTTGCGTGCATGCTGTCTTATTCTGTTGGGATCGTACAGAATGGATTGAGTCCCTACCCAAAGCTAGTTAGAATGCAGAAGATGGACAAATAAGGTAAATTAAATTTTCTGTTCAGTTTTTCTGCTTTATTAAGCTAGCAGAATGTAACTAACTCACTTTTATAATGAGCCTTGCTCAGTCTAGAGCATTCTTTTGGTCATCTGTGTTTATGGTTTTGGGAAGAAGGGGACATTGAGATGTATTTTTATCTGCATATGATCTTAATAGTGATGCTTAAGAGCTCATTTTCAGTTGATTTATTTGATGATCTGGTTAGTTTGTAGAAAAATTGTAACTGAGATTTGTATCATTTTTCTTAATACTTAAATTTTTTTTAGACTTCTCATTTTTTAATGGAGCTTTGTATTTTTAAAAGCAGTCTACCTTGGAGAAGATGTATTCTTATAAAGCACATGATAAACTGTCTTTTGGAGTTAACATTCTTAAGAAAAGGTACTGAGTTCTAAGTTTTTATTATCTATGCTTATGTTATTAGTGCTACTTTCCTTTATTTTCTAAAGAGAAGCAAATGTCAGATTTGGCCTATTTCATTAGTAAAACAATGTTTTAAAGTGTATCTCAAAACTTATATTTCTTGTTATATAGGTCCTGCTTTATCTTGGTCTTAACCATTCAGCAAAAAAAGTATAAAAACGAGGTATAAAAAGTAAAGCCATATTAATATGCTGAGCTGTAAAAGGCTCAAGTCAACAACTTCTGACATTGCCAGTCCTACTGATAACCCACTACTATTGTGGACTACTGGACTGTATTGGATTATTTTGCTGAATTCACACACCTACAACATTTAAATGACAATGGAATACCCATCTCTGACAAAACTAAAGAGTGGAATATAAGTGAAAGACCATTTTGATTAACCTGATATATATATTCTGTACATACAAAGTAGTTAGGATAGATATACAGCTACTTTCGCTTAATTCAATGAGAAGAAAGATTTGTACTAATAGTGTTTGAACAGGATATCATGTCTGTATTTTGTACTATGAATAACCACTACGAAGACAACAATATACAATATATTAATTATTAGAACTGTCCTACTAACCTGTTTTGAAACTGATTGCTGTTTCTCAAGAAAATTAATTTTAAAAAAGTTAAATTGTATCTAATACTACAATTATGAAAACAGACATATATTATTAATGTATGTCTTGGCATGGTACTTTGTCAGATTCTATGTTAAATGCTAAGGATTTCATATGTCATTTAATTTGTATAACAGCCGTTGAGTGGCTATATTATTAATCTGAATTCAACAATTGTAGATACCAGGGTTAAAAAGTTAACTGTCTTGTTCAAGAGCACATAATGGAGACCTGGCTTTCAGAGAGGTATCTTCACCAATCTGTATGAAATATACATTCCCACCCCTTTTCAAACCAAATATTAAGTAACATAAAATCATAAATACAAAAACTAATAGAAGATCAAGGCTGTATAGTTATTGTATGATTAAGCTTACTATTTTGCTTGGTGACTAAAAAGTGTAGAAAAAGTATAGAATTTTAGAATTTTACAAAATTTGGAAAACATGTCAGGGCCTCCATTATACGTTAATGGTCTGTGTTTATATTCTCATTATGTCAAAGTAAATGAGCTTTCGGAATGGTGTCCATTTTTAATGCTTTGCTCACTTATATAATACTAGTTTGGATCTGACAAAATATTTACCATGATACCGGTTTCCCACCTTAAATAATTTCTTCCTGTTTGGATATATGGGATTAATATGGCTTTATGTAAACAAAATATTTGAGGATTGTGCAAAACATTATATCCATTTATTATCCTGAAGTATGTCTTCCTTTAAACTTTTACTATGTCTTTAATAGACTGCTTTTTTTAGTGCCAGGTACCATTTTAGGCATTGGGATTAAGTGAAGACTATTCAGAAGAGTCACTGGCCCTTAAAATGATTGATTGTACAGGACAGGGAATCTAAAATTACAATTCAAATTATAATATTATGGAAACAGTACAAGAGTAGGTATGACCTCCCAAAAGAAGGATACTTGAAGCTTAAGTTGATGATTGTCAGGTACTGTGAGGGGAACTTTTTCAAGCCGAGGAAAACCAAAAATGAAAGAAGGAATGATATGATAGAGCAACTCAAAGTTTACCCAAATAGGAAGTGGTAAAACTTAAGTCTGGGGAATTTTTGTGAAATAGTGTAAAGACTATTTTGCTAATAGCATACTAGTATAAAACTTTTATGAAAACTAAGATAAAGGTCAGCATTTAATTAAAAGTAAATTTTTTCTTTTGTTTTCATGAGAAGTGGTTTGAGACAGGGTCTCCCTGTGTAGTTCAGGCTGGCCTGAAATTCACTGTGTAGCTCAGGCTGGCCTTGAGCTTTAAGTGATTCTCCTTTCTCAGCCTCCTGAGTGCTGAGATGACAAGGGTATGTCACCAATGGCCTGCCATTATTTTCTTGATTAACTTGATATTAGTAACTCTTTGAACTGGAGCTTTATTTTCTTCAGGCTAAATTCTATATGTTAGTGACAGGATTTGATAATTGTGAAAATGAAATTTTATTTTACACCACAGTTTCAGAATTTGTGAAATTATAAATGCTTTTTGTTTCTTTTCTTTCATTTTTTTTTTTTCCTTGTCCTTGAGTTTAAAACCAGGCCTCACAGATTGCAGGCAAAGCATTCTGCCATTGAGCTACTTCTCGAGCCTTCCACCTTTCATTGAGATTTTTAAAAACGTTTTTGAGACAGGGTCTCATAGAGTTGCCCAGGCTGACTTCGGTTTGCAATCCTCTTGCCTCAGGCCCCCAAGTAGCTGAGATTACAAGCGTGTGCCACCATGTGGATCTACAAACATTTTTTCTCTTCTGAGTTCTTTCCTTTATCTTCAAGAAGCAGAAATGTATTGAAATTTGGTATCTTTCATATAGACTTATATAGTTCCATTTTTATAACTTTATATTTACAATTAATTTACTGGTGAGCAATGCCTTTTGTAGAATATCTTCTTTGCTACCCAATACCTTTTAATTTTTACTATATTTGTTAATTGGTTATATTCTCCCTTTTTTGAAGAGTCCAGAGCAAAACTACTTCCTCCTTTTAATATTTACTTGAGTGATTTCAAAGAAATTTTTGAATAATTTTATTTTTTACTAATGTTCCTCACTAACCAAAAATTAGTAGTTTCATAGGAGAAATCATCTCTTTTGGTAAAAAATGTTATTTACTGAATAAGGATTATTTTCTTTTGTAGCATTTGGTTGAGGAGGAAGAGACAGACGTTTTCCTTAAACATGCCAGTATTCTGAAGGATTCATTGCAGTTTTAACTTTACTATTACAGTAAATATTTGATCCAAAGGATTTAAAAGTCTGTGCTGTTGCCATTTTAGGGAACCAGTTTCCTTACTGATATTGTGAAGAATAAATGTTATTCTAGGGAAAATATTCTCATTTGGAGTTGAAATTAAAAAAATAACTAGAAAAAGACAAAGTTTCATTATTTATTTCCTTAAATATTTTAGTATCATGATGCAGTTACCAGAAAACACTTATGACTCCTCAGAACCTGTTATGTCAGCCCAGGAGCAGAAGACCCAGGTAAGGCTTGTGTTTGAGGGTAGTTAGTATTCTTTGCCTACCTAAAATTTTGTAGTATTTTAAAACATTATTCTTCAGCTACGAAACTGAGATAAAACACAGTGTATTTTCCTCTTGATAGAAAATGTAATATCTGAAAGTCTAAAGGCTCAGTTTTTCTAAGTACATTAAAATAATGCTCAGTTGTTCCTTATTTTTTGTTCAGACTGAATTGTATGTCAAATTAGTAGAAGCTAGGCAGAGGCATGCCAATAAAATGGATGTTCCTCCAGCTATTCTGGCAACAAATAAGATATTGGTGGATATGGCCAAAATGAGGTAACCGCTCTCTTTGTATATATTTTGGTTTGCTTTCCTTTAACATAATAGATTTGTAAAATATGTCATTACTTAATAATATGGCCATGGCTTTATTACATGTGTGAGTTGACTCCCAGTTCTCCCACGCTGCTTTGCAGATCTCTTTGCCAAGCTTTAGTCTCATATTTCTGCATAGGTGAAATCATGTTTTCAACAATCAAATTATATATAAAATCAATGTCATTATCTACTCATTCTCTAAACATGCATTTCATCTAACCACTAAAACTTGCTAAAGTTCCTCAGTTTTTAGTTGTATTATCATGTTCTCACACGCATATTTAAAATCTGTTATCACATTCCTAGCATGTATACCCCCTTCCTCCTCTCAGTTTTTTCAAATATTCTATGTGTGTATCTGTTTATGCCTTTTCTTCTCTTCTTAGTGGTATTGTATTACTTATTTCATACCATTTACCCTTGACCGACTGCAAAATATGTTTAATTGGGTACTCCTCAGTTTTGTTCTGTCTTTCATCTGATAGATCAATTCTGAATTAATCTTCCTTTATCACATTAAACTTATGCTTAAATGGTTTCCCACTGTTTTCTTTACACCGAATTCCAAGTATCTCTGTTTATGGACTTAAACCTCATCTGCTTACGCCGTAGAATTTGCAGTGGTTTATCTTACCTGGATTATTTACCATTTATTGAAAAGCCCCTGCTCCTTTCAACTTTTGTATATTTATTAACAGTGTTGCTTCTGGCATGTAATTGTTTTCTAGATTCTTCAACACTCCTAAATCCTTCAAGATCTAACTTTATTACTATTTCCTCCATGAATTCTCCTGCTGGCTTGTCCACTCTTCAGTTCATCTTAAGATGGTTCTGTGAAACTTGCGCAATGCCTTCTTTATTTTTCCTTGTAATTGATGATAGACATGCATTATATCTGCTAGATCTTATTCTGTGAATAAAAATATAGTTCCTTTGTGTGTCTTTTAGAGAATCTAGTACAATGCCTAATAAACACTACATGGTCAGTAAATATTTAGAAGAAATTATTTCCAAAAAGTAGGTTCTTGTCTATTAATTATATTTATTTTTATCTTTCTTTTTGAAAATCATTTTTATTAGTAAATTTCATTCAAAATGTTACTTTTATGTAGGATTTTCTAATACTATTACACAGTGCTCACATCTTACAATAATTATTTTTTTAAAAACAAATTTTGGGGACCGGGGAGATGGCTCAGTGGAATAAGCCCTTCCCTAGCAAGTACAAGGGCCTGAGTTCGATCCCCAGTTCCACAAAAAAAACAAAAACAAAACAAATTTTGTATTCTATGACTACACTTTAATATTAAGAGAAGATATTTAAGGAAAAGAAGTAATCATTAAATTGATAGACCATACAATGTCTTCTTTCTAAAACTCTAAGATAGTGGACACAGTAGAAATTTCTGAGCTACATGCCTAGTTAGCAGATTTACTTTTACAGGCAAGCAATTTTTAGGAAAAATAGCGAATGAGATTTTCTTAGTTTCTTGGATGTTTATTGTCCTCAGTCTCATAACTTTCCTTTTTTTTTTTTTTTTTTTAAATGTATTTAGTACAGGATCTACAGGGTCTCACCACACAGATTAGGTCATACTGAACCTCCTGTTTTCAGTCTCCTAAGCGCTGGTATTCCAAGCACTCGTGCCACCATTTCCAGTGTCAATTTGCTGTATCAGCACACCCTGGAGCTGGGGCTGGCACGGCATGCCTGGGATCAGACTCCCATCCCTGCATCTGCCTAAGCAGGTGTTTTAATCTGCTGAGCTATCTGTCCAACCCTTGCACTTTCCTTTTCATTTCTCTGAAAATAATAAATCTAGTAGTATAGTGGGACAATAGGCATTTGGCTGTTCCTTTCTGATAATGACTTATTTATCATTTACAGCAGGTACTTTCTTATTTTTTTATGTTTCAAAGGGAGGAAAGCAAAGAAAGAAATTATAAGATGTAACTACTTGTATTATGCAATATTTGGTTGTAGAAATACATTTATGAAGTATGAATATGAAGCTGAGTTTCTGATGTGATACTGTTTTAGTGGTGTCTTAGCTTTTTTTTTTTTTTTTTAATAATAGACCAACTACAGTTGAAAATGTAAAACAGATTGATGGTGTTTCTGAAGGCAAAGCCACCATGTTGACCCCTCTGTTAGAAGTCATCAAGCATTTCTGCCAAGAAAGTAATATTCAGGTAAAATACTATGGTATACAGGAAATCTTAAAGAATATTGATTTTTTTTTTAACCAACTCAAAACACCCCTCAAAGAGCAGGCCCTTGTTTTTACAGTAAATCAGTTGTAAAAACATGTCAGTTGTCTTCTTTTAAAGATGATACTAAAGTAGCTATTTTGTTGAAAGGTTTTATTCCTAGATTTGAATAAATACTGTATTCTAAATTAATGAATTATAAATTTTACTTTCCCACATCACAGTTACAAATCACAGCTACAAAATTATACTTGGTATCATTTGGTAAGGAGCTCAGCTACACTGTTTTTCTAATCATTTGGTATACTCCTTAACTACCTATTAAGTATATTTCATTTTATTTTCTTTGGTCTTCATAGTGTTTTCTTTTTACCTTTTATTATATTTTGTTTTATATCAATGCCATTTTTACAAGCATCCTTTGGGGTTTTTCCTTGAACTCCACATGCAGATCGTACTGGGTAGAAGGTGAGACTGGTGAGGTTGTGGAAAGACTGTGGGACTTGACCAGGGAATCAGGATTTCAGTTCTGTGTTTTTCCTGGTGAACATGACCATCATTTTTTTTCTAACTTCTGGATCTCCATTTGCTCACCTACACAGTGTAGTAATACTTTCTGTCCCATATCCAATGGGTAACATTAGGAAGATAAAAACATGGAGTTCCTATAAAAAGTTGGAAGAATTAATAACACTCAAGGTAGTATTAAAGGATTGCTTTTTCCAAGAACTTCCTTTGAGCTTTAGGCAGGCAAAACAGAAAATTCTGCTTTAGAAAACCCCTCTAACTCAGGACAGAAAGCTATGCTACTTTTTATATGTAGCATTTCTTTTTTGAAGTAGAGTATATTTTGGCAATTTTACCTTAAGATATCTTGTAGAAATTTCTTATATTGCATACTGGTATTTTGGAAATAAAATTGTAATGTCTTGATTTGATAAAGACTAACATGCCTATAGTATAATTGAACAAGTCCCTCTCTTTGGACACTTTATGGTAATGTCTTCTTTCATAAATTAATGGTATTATTCAGTAATGCACAGATTGCCCTGCCCAAATTGCCCTCCAAAGAGGAAACTGTAGGAGGCTAAAAGTTAAGTGCCCCAAATAACAGGTATAAGAAAGTCATTTTGAACCTTGTGAGTAGAGAAAATGACTGTTTGTATCTGTGATTAGTAATTATGGAAAATTGTGATATTTTGCAAATTGAAATGACTTAGAAATGAATAACCTTTAGTGTTTATTAAGCCAGTCTTTTTATTCACTACTTTCATTAAGATTTTAATGTATTTATTTCAGATTTTGAAGCGAACCAATAACTATCATTTAATACAAATCTAAAGTTAGAAATAATCACTGGAAATCGTGATGTGTGCCAGTAGTCCCAGCTACTTGGAGGGCGGAGCCAGGAAAATCACTTGGGCCTATGAGTAGGCAAAATAATGAGACCTTATCTTAAATAAATAAATAAAAATTTAAATATGAAAGTAACACTATAACATGGGTATAAAATCTCCTAACATGGCCTTTTAGGAAAAATATGCTGAAATCACTTTATCAAAGTATATTTTATGAAAAGTATCCATTTAAGTGTCTTTTCTTCCATTGTGAGTTACACTGAAAAACTTACAAGATTTGATTTCTGGAACAAAATGCCAGTATCATCTGTAAATATGGAATGATAGCATTTAGGAATATTCAAGATACTCAGCAAAATAATCCAAAGTAATATCAAGAAGGTAGGGTAAGACTGTGACTTTACTAAGCAGTAGGCTAATTAAACCATATTCTATGCAGGTAAAAGACTTTGTGAACATAGTGGTTAATTATGGAAATAAGTAGGAAAAGCATAAGAAATAGAGTAGGCAAAGCATATCTGGGCATTTTTGAGATAAGAAGACTTTTTGGCTAAGTAGATTTGAATAGTATGGTTTAACTGGCAAGGACAATGCCTTCATTTTTTTTGTTACTAAAGGGCTACCATCAGAACTTCCCATCTTATATTCTAAGCTTGGTAAACAACCTCCAGGAAAGTTGGCATTCACACAGCTTCTTTAGGACAGAGCATACTGGATGAACTAAGCGAAACTTTCCAGTTGTGTTCCTTACTGTGATTAATGACTTTGGTTTTCAATGTATATGCTTACATTTGCATACACACATAAAAACCCATTTAACAATACTGTACATCTATTCTCCAGAGCACAAATGCTCTATAAAAAGACATACCAGACCTTTAAAATTGAAAAGAGAAGGGGCCAAGGGAGGTAGCTCAGTAGCATAAGCACCTGCCTGGCAGTGCAAGGTCCCAAGTTTGATCCCTGGTACTGCCAAAAAAAACAAAGACAGTAAGGACAGAAACCAGGGTCTGGACCATGTTAGATGCCGCAGTATGGGGACCAGTCTAGTAGCAAGCTAGGCTTCCACAAATAACTCATTCTGTCTTAATACACACTATCTAAAAACTGTAAAGTGCAGGTATCTTAAGGCTTTAAAACAAGACTAGAGGGCTGGTGAGATAGCTCAGCGATCTAAGTTCCTGCTTAGGCAAGCACAGGGACTGGGTTCGATCTCTAGTACCCCTGCTTGCGGGGCATGCTGAGCTAGAGACGAGTCCCGGCGTAGTGGCACACGCCTATAATCACAGTGCTGGGGAGCCTGAAAACGGGAATCACTACAAGTCCAACCTGCGTAGTGAGACCCTGTATAAAATAGTTAAAATTAAAAACAAAAAACAAGAATGGATCAGTGAAACACTTGGTCCTATTTTATTTATATCTCCTATATGCTCAGAACACCAAATCCTCACACATAGGGTTATTTGGTTGAAATTCTCTTTTGTGTTAATGAGCAAGTATGGGTCTACAGATTCTTCCATATGCAAAATGAAATTCTAAAGCCTTGGAGACCATATTCTATTGCCTTGGGCCACATATTCCAAATTCTAAAATTAAGCATCAAAATCAGTGCATTTATATTTCTCACTATGTAATTAAGCAAAATTTGTGGATAAAAACATTCCATAGAAGGCAGGATATGGAAACAGAAATAAATTTCTTTCCCGAAGAAAAGCTTATAAAAATTCTCTCTCATACATGATACATAATATAGTAGGTCACAACAATATATATAAACCTTATCAAAATGATGCCAGTATTGTTCATCAAAGAGTGCGCTCTTTATTATACTAGCTTGTTACAGAGTGTATTATCAGTGTAACTTGGCTGTATGCTGCTTTTATCTGTCTTTTATGTGTGATTAATTTTAAAAAAGTTTTCTATTTGCTTTTAACTTTTTTCTTCAGGTTTTATGATTATGAAAATGTTCTCTTTTTTTTTTTTTATGGTACTGAGGATTGAACTCAGGACCCTGCGCTTGCCAGGCAAGTGCTTATTCTACTGAGCTAACTCCCCAGCCTAAATA